AAAAAAAAAAAAAAAAATTGAGGTTAGAGTGTTGTTAAATCGCGGTAAGGGCGATTCTAAGTTTGTTCCCGTGGAATTCAGAGGAAAGGGCGTCGGATGCGGATTCAGTCAGCGTCAGTTTCAATGAGGAAGAAGGCATGCCTCTTCTCTGACCAGTGTCAGTTACATGTTCTAGAATACTGGCCCCATGGGATCGCGAAGGTAAGACTTCACCCGGCGAAACTGCTCGGTGTCAGGAAGACTGAAAACGTGATGTGACACGTGCTCGCGCGTTTAGGTCGACGAGCGTTGTTATGAGATTGCGTAACACACTCGGACGAGAAAGAAACACGCCGCATGAAATGTTAAAAATATGGTTGACACGTGGAAGATGATAAAACCTTCTCTGTTTTGCGCGATGGGATTGATATTCCGAAAATAGTAATTGTAAGCGGATTAACTTCGCATTACGCACATATAATAGTGTTAATAGTTGTAAACTATTGAAAATTTTGTGAAGAAATGTTTTAATATTTATGACAGAATTTAATGACAGAAAGAAATTGAGAAAATATTAAGAAAAATTTTTAAATATTTTTTACGAAAGTATTATACAAGTCATTTATTTTTTTAAATATTTTGAAGAAATTCTTTGAATAATTTTCATTTTATGAAGAATTAAAAGTATATTGTAAATGTATAAATTTGGTAAAACGAAAAATTCTGCCATCTATGAAGAAAGGAGCGTAACCTGTTGTATGTAGGTGTTCCATTGTTGATAATAGATTTCTTTGCGATCTATTATATCGAGCGATAGAAATTCTCAACGATTTACAAGATGGTGCTTTGATCGTTATTACAGCCATCATGAATCAAATTATGTCAAGAATAAGTGGGGGTTGATGTTGACGAGAGGTGGGTCTTTCTGGTTAAGCCTACCACTGGAAGGGTGGAGTCCGCTACGCATGACCTACGACCATCTGGAAGTACACATTGGCGTAGAAATATTAGAATTTATTTGATAAAAATTTATACGTGTCCAAAAATTAATTTTCTTCGATTTAATTTAATATTTCTTAAATATTTAAAATTTATGATTATATGAAATAATTCCAGTACAAAATAAAATGTAAGTATATTTACTCGATGCTTTAACATTAATGTTAATATTTATAAAAAGATTTATAAAAACGTACGTACCTTCAATATACCATATGCAAATATACAAAAGATAATTATTTTTTTACTTTATTTTAATTATAAATGATAAGAGAGACCATTATTTATTAATTTATTAATTTTTAATCACAGAAAACAAATATATATTTTTGAATTAAGCAACTATGAGAAAACGGAGGAACTACTTTGAAATAGAACTATCGGTAATAAACTTTACGAGAATCTGTAGCTAGTGCCATCTTGTGGTATTTTCTATCACAATTCCTGAAATATCGATCTCAATAATATTTTCAGATTATAGTTTGATTACTAAAATGATATAAAAAAAATACTACGATTTATTATCGATAATTTTTTTGCATATCGAATAACATTTTATTTCTTTTTATAAAAGTAGACATATTTAAAATAAATTTCAATTATCTTTTTATTCATATCGAATATTAATTCGTTTAAAAACGTTAATTAATTTATTACAATTAAAATTTTTTTTATTCATTTGTTTGATGATTACAATAACTCATATTACGTCTTTCTAAAATGAAATTTCTGGTTGATTATTGTTTTATTTCAACTCGATAGATCAGTTTATAATCCTACATATTTATTTTCTACATCTTTTCTATTATTAGTTAATTACTCTCTTCAAAGGTGAACAAAATTTCAATATAGATTATGAAAAAGAAATAAAATTTTATTTTTGTTCGCATATAATTAGAACATGAAATTAAATATCATGCACTTCAATTTTCGCGCGGATTTGAAATAAATGTAGCCAATCAGAAACCAGTTAAGGTCTAACCGCGAAACGAATCATTGCGCATCATAATGCGCATGGCGTTAGTCTACAGTCGAAAATCATAGTGATAGGCTGCGTTTTACCGGTTAAAGTGTATAATTATGTAAAATTTTCATTAATAAACTATTGTGTTAAGGTTAATTGTAGATTATTAAGTTTTATTTAATCAGTGCGTGTTTGTTTAATCATTATTGTATCAAAATTGAACAGTATTTAGATTTTTATCGTCTTTCTAAACTTTATCGTTCGATCGAAGTTTCGATGATTTCGAAAGCATAATAATTTTCGTATATGCACATGATAATTAAGAGATAATCTGAAGAATTCATCGAATGAGGTAAAATTTTATTTATTTTAATAAAAACATAGTTATTATAAATTTCTTTCGTCTTTTTATTCGTTCGGAATTCACACATACATATTTCGTACGTATTCTCATATATTTGTTTCGTAAATACATTTATTCATACGTTCAACTCGAATGTTATTTCTGAATTTGTTTTCATTTCTAGCCCAAGGCTAGAAGATTGAAAACATTTCTTATCATTCAGCTTTTCCAAGAATTGGTGATTTGTGTTGTGCCACGCTCGACATGTTTCGACCTGTCGAATTATCCCCCTCTCCTTTCCTAGTTTATGTTTCGATATATCTACATTTTGTTTTCGAAAGTCGTGACGATTGGACGCTTCGCTTCAGGTGCGTAATTTATTTATTGTAATATATAATATTTTACATTTATTCTTTTATTTTTTATACCATTATTTCATTAATACAAATTTATTCAATAATTTATTGAATATTATTGATAATTTTTTCAAGAAGAATTTATTCTTTATTTTTCATTCGTTTTTTTGACTGTTAGAATTCTATTCTATTAGTTCGTATTATACGAGTTTTTAAAGTAGAATTTTAAAATAGTTATTGTTTTTTTCTTTAGTACAATTACTTATAATTGTACATACATTTTAATTTCTTTTGTATTTTATACATTATCGTACATATTTTAAAGATTTAATTTCTTTTATGCAGATTGCTGAAATTACTGTAGGCGGGAAAAATTTTCAATATGGATGCCATGATGATATTTCACATTTTATGGAAAGCAAATAAAGTTAAATTTCTTTATTGAAGAAAAACATATGTAAGTTTGTACTTATTTTTGTATTTTTCGTTTAAATTATTGAATAATTGATTGAATAATTGATAGATATCTCAAAATAGTAAAAGATTTAATAAAATAAACTATAATTTTCTATATTTTTTGTAAATTTTCTATTGTAAAAATTTTAAAATATTTCTAATACGTTGCATAATATAGATATAGATTAATTTTAACAATGGTTAACAATGGATTTAAAACATAGATCTTTTAAAAATAATAATATCTTTTTAAATAAATGCTAGATAGAAAGAAGAAAAAAAATGTAAAAATAAATTTTGTTTTCTTTTCTATATTTCCTATTCTTTCTAATTTCCCAATTTTGTTTTCAGATCATTGTGATCACGTGCAATGTGGTCGATAAAGTCAGTGTTTTTTTCGTAATAATAGTATTTTTAATATTTTTTACAACACAATAGCTCTGATTAAAAATTAAACGCGAAAGTAGAATCTGTGTTTGTTCGCCAATTGTAATTTAAACGATTGTATCGATAGTCTTTTATTTTATTATTATTTTTTTTTAATACTCGTTTTCGGTATGGAGTAGAATCAGTGCATCAAGAGAATAAGGTGATCATCCATCACGCGAAGAGGTATTTTTTTATATATTTCAAATTTAATAATTTCATATTTCATTATTTCAATTTTTTCAAATAATCAGAATTATATTTTAAATTATGTTTCTCCCTTTTTTATAGATACTCCTATCTGATGACAACATTCTTTTGGATTTCAGTAGCAGTTCTTCGCATCGAATAAGTGAGTCGTATGCATTTTGGTTCCTCTGGTCACTCAATCATGTCGTAGGACGAAAGGTCTGAATCGACACGAGTGATTGGTTGTATACGTAGATTTTTGCACGAGCACTGTGACCGCAGATATTTTATAATATCTGTGAATAGTAACATTTATTTTCTCTGTGTTTTATTTATTATAGTTCAGGATAGGGTCTTCTTGTGCATCGCGTTTTATTTTTAAATAATAATTTATTAATAATTTATTTATTTTCAATTCTAATAGTAATATACCATAATATTATAATCAATTTGAATGATTGCAATTGAAAATACAATTGATTAAAATTTAAATTGTATAATTTATACACTTTGAATGTGTATGAATATTATGTGTGAATAATAAGTAATAAATAATATTTATTATATAATATATAATAATATACATGATAACTTCAATTCAATAGTGGAGAAATCAGATATTCTTCTTTGTTGCAATTTACAAAAAGATTATAAAAATATATTTATTATCTTTAAATATGATAAATCATTTTTAATTTTAATTCCATCTTTTTTCTTTTTTACTTCTCAGTAATATTTCAAATCATTCAATTTTTTGATTTCTATATTATAACTTCATTATAACTCAACATACGTAGATAGTAAAGTTCAATTTTTTTTGCGTACAAATGTGAAGTAAATTTTATGCACAAGAAGAGATTTCGCGACAGGTGGATTGCAAAATCAGAGTACTTTGAACGGTATTTTTGTGTCTTTAGAAACGTACTCTGATGAAGTAATCGCCTGAGGATATTTCTATTAATTATTTATATTACATTTCAACAAATTTCAATCCTTCTTTAAATAAATAAATTCCATTCCATATATTAAAGTTTTAACAATTTATTAAATTAATAATTTAAAATTTAACAAGAATATACATACAAAAATTAAAAAGTAGCCCGTTAAATAAAAAATACTAATACTTGCATTTTAGCTTAGGATTTTCAGGTTTAACCCTTCCCGTGCCCATTGCCAGGACCTCACTCACGTGCCCAGGTGCTACTTGAGTGGGAGAAAGGCACTGGGCATGATGATTTATAAACTAATAAACATTTTTTACGCGACTGACGATGCGTTAGTGTATCGTGCACGACGTATTTTCCACGTGTGTGTGTGTGTGTGATTAGGCCGTGGAAATGCGTCGTTTCGATTATCATTTCACCTACGAGAAATATTACAGATGTAGTAATAAATAATAGCAATATTATCAATAATTGTAAATTTATAATACATGTGCATTCGTTCGCAATTATTCACGATAATTAAAAATTTAA